CACTCAAATTTAGAATTAAACCCAACTAAACACCCATGAGTCTGAATGATATCATCAACAAATAAAATATAGCACCAAAGCCTCTGTGTATGCTTCGTAAGTTCATCCATTATCAATTCAAAAATATAAAAACTTAACATTAATGCTTGGTACTGCTTTATGACTACAGGATACAAGTTATACATATCTCTTACTTTCCTAAGAGTAGTGACTATTCTACTATGCATATCTTTAAGATAAATTTCTTAAACATAACATATACCTTTGTCCTAAACTGGGTATTGACACCGAAAGGATTAGAAAAGCCACCAAAGTTGTCGAGAGAAGATGACTTTCGCTTCTTGTTGCAAAGAGGTTCACAAATCTCTTCATTTGAGAAACTTGAATGACATGACAATTGCCTTTTATCTTGCAGATCCAACTCGATCAGTAGAGTTGTTAAAATACAGCCAAAAACCTGCATTCATTGTTCAAGGTGGTAATAATCATTATAGATCTTTGCAACTTGTATTGATTGCTTCATATGATAAGAACAAATAAAATATTGATAAACTTAGCCACCTCATGCTACAAAACATGTTACAGACAGAACAATTTAATGCCTCAAGCGACAAGGAATGCTACTACCATATTAAAGGGATATTTTGTAGGCAACAAAAAATGTCGCTTTATACATATGATAGTATCTTAGAGAACAGAAGTAGAGAGGCTTAGAATGCCAAAATATTGTCAAATACATCTAAATTTTATATGACATGAACAGCTGTAATTATACACTGTTGATGCATAATATATGTTTTTGATGCAAGCAGCCAAGCATGACTATTTATCTGCAAAAGTTTCCTGAAACAACAATTTACAGATTGTAAAAAGCTAACTTAATTATTAAGGAGACATTTTTAGATAGTGACAAAAAGTAAATTGTAATGTACTTCATCAGCTTCCTGATTAAGACAAACTGTTGCATGGTGGAGGATTGCCTTCAGTCTCTCCTTCTTATATTCTGAAAGCTCTTCACCAATTACTCTGGTAAAGAACGAAGCCGAATGATAGCAACTTTTATCTTCCACAACATTGTTTGGACTAACAATGCCTTCAACCTGTCCACTAGGATATCCTAACAGTGACTCCAAATTTGATGGCAGAGAAGGTGAAGCTCTATCACCACTTTGAGGAAACAGCTCAAAGAATAGATGCTTGAAGTAACCAAAATAGTCAGGCCCTAGTTCATTTTGCGTAACAGAAGAACTTTCAGGCATCATAAAGAAGTCAAACCCTGTCATAAATCATTTATAAAGGATTTACCTAATAACATATCAGAAGAAGATAAAATATGATAACATGGAAGCACAGAAAGAGCATCAGATTTGCACTGGATATTCTCAAAAGCAAGATATAGGCATAAAAGATTAATAAATTTAACAACTATTTATTTTAATAGTTTACACAATTGCATTTAGTCATCAGCTGCCAAATTATGAAGGCATACCCAAAGATGTATGTCAGAATATAAAACAAGATAGACAATTGAATATGTTACAAAAATATTTTGGTAAATTTTCTATATATGTTATTTGTCACATACTATAAATTTCATGCATAATTTGAGTTGATTAGGGTAGTGACATCCTCTTGAGCTTCTTGCCTGACTTAAACAGCTTTAAATACAAGGCAACATAAAGCCATGAGAATAAAGATAAAATACAAATAAAATGTGAAGTGGTAATGAGTTGTTGATGATGATGATAAATCTCAGGGTTTATCTCCAATATCAAATTCTTTACCCAGCTGCCCAGAGCTTAATTAACCTAACCTAGGAAATCCAAAGAGCTATAGGAGGCTGGATTCACAGAAAATCCATAATATGCACCACAGCAGTAAGTTCCTCTACCTTTCAACAGCTGAAGGGGATTCTCATTATTGCATCTTTTGTTTTGCTCTTGTAAATGTTGATCTCATGTTGCACTTGTTCAGTATCTTGAAAAAAAAAATGTTGCAGAACAAAAGCTTACTTATGCTGAAGGCTTTAACAAAAAGACACTCATGGAGCCCTTGGTCAATTCGATTCTGACAGCAAATTTGCAAACTATAATTTTTCATAATACATTAATTACTAACCTATATCCATCAATCTATTATAACATGTGTCCATTTCATATTTGATTCACATTGCATCCTCCCATGATCTGTTTTATTGTTTAGCTTTAACATTTGATTTTTATTCATATTAACATGTAAATTTGTATCCACTTTAAAAAAATATGATTTCTAAAGTTAGCATTCCTTAGTATTCATATTCAATGTGGTTTTGGCTATATCCGACCAGTCTAACGGCTCTAATCTATTTCAAAAAAATGGATTTTTTTAAGTCCAAACGTCTAGAAATATTAATGTAAATAATATAATCCAAAAATCAAGAATTTGAAGAAACATCCATTTCTTTTTAATCCATTTTCCAACCGAATGTTGACCCATGACAACGATAAATTTAAAAAGATTAAGAGCACAATATTTTAATAAAAAACACACAAATAGTCAAAAGCCTTCTGTCTATCACATGAGATTGTTTACCTGTGACAAAAATAAAATGCGACAAAACCATCCAAATGCAACCATATCCCTCAAACCAATCCATCGAAAGCTTCTTTTCAAAAATTTGATGTGTCAAATAAATAAATACTTCCACAAAGAAAAGCGAAAAGACAAACGAAGAAAGAGAAAAAGAAAAGGAAAAAAGAAAAAGAACGAACGAGAGCACGGGGGACAAGAAATAACTTACCTTCTTAGATAGAGAACGAAGACGGAATCAAAAGATTTTGTCCCCGGCCAAATCCTGGAGATAACCACCGAGCCTCACTCCCGAAATCAAGGATACCAAACCCTAGTTGGCGTAGTGCGGAAAGGAATTAATAAGGATAAAGCGGTCTCACCAACACCTTTTGCCCTCAAACTTCCACCTTTTCACAAAGAGACTTTCCATTCACAACTCATCTATTATTAATAATCTCTTATAAAATAATAAAATATTATTTTCCTGTTTACAGTCAACTGTCTACTGTCTCCCCCCGGGGGGCGCGCCTTGACAACTCATTTATTATTGATAATCGAAAAAATAATAATAATATATTATTTTAATATTTATACTCCCATTATTACTATTCTTATATTTTTCTTTCTCGTGAAAAACCTTTTATCGCATCCACTTTGTCATAGAGATTACTCGTTGCTGATAGTGCTCACCATAGACGTCACTCGTAAATGTCATTTGCCACTTCTTTCGACTCATCTCTACTTGCTATCTATGCTTCTTCCTAGTTCATAATAGTGTCACGGACTTAGTTGCTTTTGTACAAGTTGTATGATACAATTACATGTTCGTCCGTAAAAATCAATCTTCATAAAACCTTTATAGTTTCATAAGACTTTAAAAAAAAAACGGATTAGAAAAAATATTTCACTCGAGATCTACAAGCAATCATTTCATTAAACACTTTATAATCAATACAAATTATAAATAAACTTCACAAATTTTGAACGATTTAAAATATTCAAAATGATCCATTATAGAATGAAATTTTTATAAATGCCTATGTGACATAACTTTTATCTACAAGTATAAGACGATCACTAAGGCTAAAGAAAATAAAATTATTTAATCTACTATTTATCCTTTACCTATTATAAATAAAATTAAAAGATACAGACATGCTTTAACATTGTATCAAATATCTCACTTATAATTTTTAATTTTATATGTGAGAATAGGGTGCAGTAAGAATTGACATTGCTCGTCACCTCTTCACCCACTGCCTACATTGCTTGCCATTGACTTTGCTCGTTGTTCGCTCCTTGGTTCCTCGTCACAACAGTAGTAGGTGGATCTCACTAGTAATATAGGGTTGGCAAGAACAATAGGTGGGGCTTCTTGAAATCATTTTGGATAGCAATATCAACAATAACTGAAGGGAGAAAAGGCGATGACGGCGGTCACAAAGTTGTTGAAGCACGGACAATGAGTGAAAGAAGAAGGTGGTAGTAGCAGCCACCGAAGTCATGCAGGAGGTGATCGTATCTGTAGCTTAGGCGATGGCAGTGGGATGAGTAATGGGAAATAAGAGGAAGAATAAGACATTTATGTGGATTTATAGAGGAGTCTTTTAAGAATATTAAAAATTATTAAGATAAGATTGTAAATTATAGAAAGGGAATGATATCCTTTTACAAAAATGTTGCATGTTAGTCTCAACGCTGGTGGTCAACTGTTCCATCTCCCGATCATGAATGCCGATTCAACCGGACCATTGTAGGGGAAAAGAGGGAGCAGCTTCACCTGCTTGCTTGCCGAGACTGATCGAGCATGAGAAAAAAAAATGGTTGAGGCGGTCATCAAAAGGAACAAAATCCATCATCTCTTATAATTTTTTTTCTAATATAAAATATAGATCTAATTTTCTCTTTTAATTTTACTTGTTCTCTTATTTCTCTACTTCTTATCTTAACCCTAAACTTGTTCGTAAATTATCTACCTTCTACCAGTCAAAGTAACGTACCTACTGTCACTTATTTTGGATATCAGTCCAAAATAAAATTTAAATATATCACATAAATATAAATGGGTAATTTTTCTATAAAGTATTTATATTTTAGATATTTTCCAACCGATATCCCTCATTATGTTTTTTTCAAACAATACCCCTAATTTTTTAAAAAATTAAACTGTTCGTCTATTATAATGTTTTAGATTGTTACAATTTTGATATTTTGACTACCATGACAAAAATATTATAAATTTAGGCCACCATATCAAAAATATAATATTTTAAAAACACTGTAAATGATCTGAATATACTATATCAAACTAACTATAAGCCTAAAGATATAATATTGAAATGGTATATGAGCAATAATAACCAAATAGACACAATATGATATAACTTATAATATTTTTAAATAATTTATAATATTTTTTCAGTATATTAATAAAACATTGTAAATACTATAGAAAAATATTATAAATGAGATGAATAAAAATACTATATCAGTTAAAAACTAGTAAAAGAACGGGTAAAAAAACTTGGTGGAAAAACTTTTTGATGGGTATTTGGGATATGTTTTAAATGAAAGATATTGTTTAGAAAAAACAAAAGATGGGGTATTTTTGGGAAATAATCGAGTATTTTCTAGGAAAATTGTCCAATATAAGTGAACAAAAAATATTATTTATTTTATAAGATTTGATAGATGATTATTTTTAGCTTTTTTAGAAAATATTTTTCACGTCATTTTTTAGAAGATAGTTGAGTACCGAGGCTGTTTTAGAAAACACCAAGAAGGAATAAAATTTTCATGTGTACTAACTTGAATATTGACTAACTCAAAAAGTATGGAAAGATATTTCCTTCATTAATTACCTTCATAATCCTGAACTTGAACCTGGCCTTTATAATAATTGTAAAGTGTTATGATCGAATCTTAGCAAAATATTTTATATAATTAATTTTATTTTACATTAATTTAAAATAGCTGTTTCTTTGGTAATTTACCCAAAACCTCCTCGTAGTTAAGGTGTTTGATGCTTTTCGATTATGTTTTTTTCAGTGTTCTCAAATATTTTCTCATAGATAACTTATTATATTGGATAGGATGTGACATATTTTTATTAGCATTAATTTTCTTTTGGCAGCATGTTTTTATTTTTATGATTCTATTTGTAAAGCTTGAAATGTCGTAGGCTGTGCAGGTGGTACAAAAGGAAAAATACATAAAATAATCTTGTCTCCATATGGAACCCCTTGGACACAGTCCAACAAGGTCTTGGTTATGTTATCTTAGGTTAGTGAATTTGTGGCTTACCGATTGACCATGACTCTAGCATTTGCAAACATACATAATGTACATACTAATGCTTCAAAAATATATCGAAAATCCATCTCATGTTGACACAAACCAAGTTGAGAGATGATGCTACTCATCTAGATAACCCATTCAAATTTTGAAAACGAGTTTTCTACAATAAAATCATACTCTTAGTAAAAATTTGCTAATAATATTACACAAAGACCATTATGCCATTTAGGAAAAGGACGTCAAAGAACATGACTACATCTTTTACCATAAGGTAAATTGTGAGGACCAAATTCTTAATTTTTTTTTTATATTTTTAATTTCCTAAATGAAATCACCATAGTGCAATCACCAAAATTTTATTTTTATTTCCTAAATCATTCCATAATTAGCCATTAACAATAACAGCACAATTTACTTCCTGATAGGTGTTTCCTAAAATGAAAATTTATTTTTAAACAAAAAGACTATTTTTCTGTTTTTTAATGAGCAAATATGGACTAACATAATTATTTAATTAATTATTGAATAGAAAAATACAATTACAGTTTCTATCGTAATTAACATCCTCGCTACTCTCCTGTTTAGGTCACATGAAGTACCCCAATTCAATCTCACGGTGATCATGAAGTGTTTGGTGGAAAGGATGAAAGGACGAAGGGCAGTGATCATTGATCGAGGACATATGTAAGTCCTCCAATATTTCTTTAATTTAAGTTGAAAATATTCAATTTATGTTGCTGATTTTTTATGAATTTCACATATTATTTGATACTAGACTTAAAAAAAAAGAGAGTTACATTTATAATTCATAATGATACTAAATTACCTTATCATTGTTAGTTTAGTTGTGTTATTACAAATTTTATACTATTATATAATAAATTATTTGTTAGATTAAAATGTGGATCGATGAGGCACTATTGGATCTTGTCCAATCGACACTTTGGTATAGCCTAGACTAGAACGAGTTGAGTCGAAACAATCTATTAAGATGGACCAAATTAAACCTAGGTTAAGTCTAGTCCGATGCAACCTGTGTGAGAATCAAACCAGAGTCAAGTAAGCAAGAATGACATAGGCCCAATGTGGCCCAAAGCTCGTGGTCCAACTCAACGTAATACCCGTGGTTTGGCACCCAAGTCTGTCCAAATGTATTCAAAGCGAGAAGCCTTATCCGAAATGCTCCCAATCCAATTTTATAGGTTTTGATGTGATTCAGAAGTAGAAGCGGACGACAATTTAGTCAACACAATCCTGGGACAAAGACAGAGAAGGATCCTAATTGACTCCAAATCAGCACCCATGCCAAGTCCTAGTACATTGGATCAAAAATATAGACTCATACATGTTTTTTCAGATCGGACTCTCGTCTGAATTAACCAACCAAAGAACATCAAAGAAAAGAACATCGAGCAAACCAAAGTGCTCGTTTCGTAATTATCTATCCATATACCAAAATGTTTTGGCAAGGATTAAATTAAACTAACATCCATAATCGCTATCAGCATAAAGAGGATTATCAAACTATGATCAAAATAAAATATATATACATCCAAATTTCATCACTAAGTCTGCAATGAAGAAGAAATGTCTCATAGTTCTTGTGGAGTGATAATGGGAACAGAGGGAAACAGCATTACATTTAATGAGCCTGTTCTTCACATCTTACACCATATAAGAATGAAGATCATAAAAGAATTGACCACATCAACCGTGCCAACCAGATGCAGCTAAACAAACGTACAGCCCCTGCAAAGAAAATTGCAGCAATGCCCTTCCCTGATATCTAAGTCACAAAATTGTGGCATCTAATATGAGAATTCATGTCCACGGATCGATATATACTTCTTCACCCATATTGCAATGTCCTCCGTGCAGGCCTGCGCCTGTGGAGTTTTGAGGAGCATGTCGAGCGTGGCAAATTCATGAACTGCATCTTTGTATTCAAGGACTGGTGCGTCAACATTTACCTTGCGAAGCTCCTCGGAATATGCAATTGCACGGTCCCTCATCCAATCATGCTCTGCAACCACTGTGAGGGTCGGAGGCATACATTTCAATGGAGGTCCCCTACCTGGAACGAGAGGATTTGCAGCTGGATGGTCTAAACTAAACTCATCCTCTGGTAAGAACAACTTCCAAGCAAGCACACACGAAGATTTGTCATAGAAGTAAGAATTTGCTAGCTTTATCTCAGAACGGGTGGAGACGCATCCAATGAAGAAGGGACACATTAGAACTTGAGCAACAACCCTAACTGGCTCGGCGAGTTTTCCTGCATCAACTACTTTACGAGCCACATGATCTGCAATATTAGCTCCACAGCTTACACCAAGTAGAACACATCTGTTTCAACACAGCAGCCAGAAGCCAATAGGTCAAATGCTATAGCTGCAGATGTAATATCTATTACCTTTAGAGATACACTAACAGGTCACCAAATATTAAAATATCTGAAGAATTTAACGGAACATACCGAACAATTACAATTAAACATCTCATAGTTGTTTAAAAGGCAGACGGTGCAGTGCATGAGTCTCACCAATATAACTTATGAGAGGTTCATAGTTGCTTAAAGGAGGACTAATTTAAAGAGTTGTCATGATATTCAACAAATAGTAGCTGAAGATAGTATCACCAGCTACTAAGTATCAGCAAACTTGAAACAAATGTTGCAAACAGCAACCACAACATATGCATGCAGATTCAGACCAGAAAGCAATGTGCTGTTGCATGTCTCCAAGTGCCACATATGTGCTGTGTCTATCACATGCATAGTCACATAGCTTATCGTACATATATGAGCACAGCACTAGCATGAACAACATGGTGCAAGTGCCCAAGCTAATGGCACAGGCCAATAAAACCAGCATGAAAACCTTGAGCATATCAAATAAACAAATAAAACAAACATTAAGATGAAAAGAAGCTGCACAATGGATTTGGATCAGCTGGACCTAACTCAAAACTCCTTCAAACTTTTGGTTCAGATCCAGATTAATAGTTTCAAAAGCAACTAATGGTGTTCTATGATTTTTATATAATTATATCTGTTAATGTTCAATTAAAAACCACCAAGTCCAATATGAATCAGCTGAACAGGCAAAACCTGTCAATAGTCCATAAAACCACAACTGCCAAAACCAAAGGACCTGCAAGATTGCTGATACCAACACTTCCAACTGGCTAAAAAACATAATTGGAATATAAATTGATACTTAGGCTTGGCATTTTTGTGGCAAGCAGAATAAAAGTTGGTTATTGCGCCTTGTTGATCTGCAAAAATTCAACCTAAGAGACTCACCTACTTATACTGCTTTTAAGTTTTAACAATTCAAACTCTCAGTCTTATTGCCAGTTTCTACCATGATCTTCATTAGCAACCAATCTAAAGGTGCACATTCCCCTAGAAAACCAAATAGGTCAAGAACTATACAGAAACAAAGATCATTTTACAAAAAAACAAAGTGATCTTATTCTGTTCACACATCTCAAACTTCCACCCTCTGAAAACAAAAATAAATAAATAGAAACACAGACAACAAAAAGAAAATCAAAAAAGAAAAAAAGAAGAAAAAATACTTGTTTACTGAGAAGTGAAATCCTATTCTTTCCAGTTTCTCATTTGTCATATAAAAATATCTAAGGTAAAGGTATCTTTATTTAATTACTAAGAGTATGGATGCTTTGCACAGAATTTAGTGTCTGTCCCATCCATCATCCCCCGAACTACTCATCCAATCCTTTTCCATAATCTCAAGTTGCCACTTTTCTTTAACATAACATGTTGTTCAGGTAACCAACTATGGAGTCCAAGTCAACACGACACAAGTGACAGAACAAGATATGTGTCAGCCCAACTTGGTCAGATTGAATTAGCAAACATGATGTGAGTGGTTTACCCCAAGGGTTTTATTGAACATCTCATGCTCAAAATACAACTCAATCACCACTTAACAATTCAGATTCTTAAGATCCATTAAGAAAGTACACATTAGGCATTTACTTTAAGTTATACTCGTCTCAATTATAGGCATGTGACGTACTGGGCAGTTGACATAACATATGATGCAAGCACTATGCTAGACCTCAGAGAAAATGAAACACAATCTTTCAAGATGTCCAAAAAAAGTACAATGAAACAATGCTAAAAAAAAATTGACATATTATGTTCTTACTTTCAATAAAAAACCAATTGCTTGTCTGAAATTGGTTACCAGAAAAACATCGGTCTTACATTTTTAGTCTATAAAAATGACTACAATTAAAGACTTAAGTCCATCATCTTATTTAGACTTCGGTGCAGCATCCATATTCCATAACATACTTGGCTTCTGAAATTCTCTTCGAATTCTTAGATGTAAGAAACAAATAATCAGAACAGTGTTTGACTCTGCATATTGAACAACTTCTCCCCGTATTTATTTAAACAAAACCTCCGAAACTTCTGTTCTTTCCGATATGCCATCATTCCCATCTAAGAAGAATTGCAGCCAATAAATTGCATGTATGCAGCAAAAACATGAAACCACGATAAGTATATACATTCAGTTCAGCATTTAAATACTTGCCAAATGGTAAGCGTCACCATTTTGTTGTGAGTTAAACTTAGCAACAAAAAAATAAAAACCAACTGTGTAGATCCCAAATTCTTCATTCATATCAAATCTTGTGCCTCGCATATCAAAAATGCATATGAGCACACAAATCTTTTGGCTAAAAATCTTGTGTTCATTTTCCATGATGCAAGTATTTCATAATAAATCTTTCAAAATGTGTCTTACACAATAATATGTAGCCACGCACCCATTCCATTTGATTTCATTAACAAGCTGTTTAAAAAATCTTGCATTTAAAGTTAAGCTCAAGAATTTCACCTTGCTCATTCAGTTGTTGTGTCTGGCACAAGTTATAAGTTACCAACAATTTATAACTCAAGTGCCAAACTAAATCCTCCATTAATGGTTCACAAAGTTCCCTATGTAACTAATGTTTCCTAGGTGAATCAATACTTTACTGCATATATGCATGTTTAATGCCAACTTTTTAAATGTTACTTCATGTCATGCACAACTACATTACCAAGTGCCAAAGTTCATGCAGTAAAGTCATCAGATGTGCATCTGAATTATCTCTAATTGGGGTTCCAGTCCAAAGCAACTTCACAAAAGTATATAAGCAGTGATCCATATGTCAGCCACTATTTTCATCTATGTTATTCACATACACCAACCAAGTCCAGAAGCTTAGATATCATTCCATCTGAAGATCCTCCAACAATGAGAAGATAAACAAATAACCACGAAAGAGAACTAATTTTAGGCATTATCTTCTTGAGATCAAATTCTGTGGCATAGAGCTAACAGAAATAATTACCTAGGACCAACACAACCCTAAGAAGAAGATTCACCTGGAAGGATCACCATGAGCTGCTAGCCATGGTTCCACAGTGGAAGCCCCAAATGTATCAACGATCTGGGATCTCCTCACCTCTCCAACCCCTAATCCCCTGGCAGTCCCCATCGACATCCTACATTCCACTAATTTTGCCTGCTTCCCCAACCAATACAGCACCTTCAACCCATCCTCAAATGCAGCAGGATACCGACTCTCTGGCGCCAGCCTATACCCAACCGAAATCACTACGGCATCGCACAACTTAGCGATCCGTCTGCAGAAGAAATCATTCGCGGTCGAAGTATTGCTCCCGGCAATGAACCCGCCTCCATGAAACTGGACGACGATGGGCAACTTCTTCGATCTGCCAGTCCGATGACGCGCATCCACGACAGAGGGCAGGTATCCCCTGTAGGTCCCCGTGGCGGCAGTCTCAGCCGCAGCGGCTCCATTGCCGTTCTGGGATCCGGGGCCGTCATAGCTGCTGCGGCGGGTATGGTCGGGCGGGGGGGTGGCACAGGCGCCGCCGTAACTGTTGCGGCGGTCCTGATCAGGGGCTTGGCGTGGCTTGGTGCCAACGCGGTCGAGGGCGGGGTCCGGGAGGAAGATGCGGATGGAGAGGGCGGTGAGGGGGTCGATGTGAATGTCCTTGGTGGCGACCCCGTCGGGGCCGAAGGAGGGGTTGGCCGGGGCGGTGGACTCCTCCGGGCGGGAGGTGACGCCAAAGGGGCTCGCCGCGTCCTCCATCTGCAGGCGCTGCTGCAGCTTGTGCTTCAGGAGGAGCTTGAAGAACACGCTGTAGAGCTTCACCGCCACGCTCGGCATCTCTCTCTGTCTCTGTCTCTCTCTCTCTCTCTCTTATCGCAGAGATCTGCTGTGAGGCGATCCTTTCCGGATGTGTGTCGGTGGGTGATTTGGGGGTTGGCAACCGTGAGATGTTTGCCTCAACATCTACAGGAAGAAGGAAAAGGACTTGCTGCGAGATAAATAGAGCGGGCCTGTCGCTGCGATTTTTACATCGGCCATTGGCTGTCACGTACCTGAAGAGGTTACGGTATGTGGGGCCCAGTGACGGCTGCTGCAACAGAGTCACTGCTTGGACTGCTGGAAGAAGTGCATTCACTTAATAACATATAAATATCTGAATCAGATTTATATTATGAATATATAATTAAGTTAAAAAGATAAAAATATAATGCTCAGATTTTTTATAATTGGATAAGATATATATAATATAACTAATTGGATTCTGATAAAATATATTTACCAATAAAAAAAAAGTTTACTTAAAAGTAGGATTATTTAGAAGATAACCTTGATGGGAGGAACTCTCCTAATTACTTATCATAAACCTTTTGCTCTCACCTATAAATAGATAGGACGAGATTGAAGAAACAAAAAAATAGAGAGGTTATCTTGAGGGATTATAGTCTTTTTAGGAAAATAGGAGAAAGATTAGTTCCTTTTGCAGATTTACAGTGATCTTTGATTAAAGATAATGCCTTTGCAGATCAAACAAAGATTTGCATTTAATACAACATATTATAGATTTTATGCTTAAAATTGGTATTAGAGCCTAGGTTCTTGAAATCAAATACATTAGATATATTATTTTGTTTACAATACATAAATAATACCTATTCTCTAATGATCGCGAAGCAGCAATAGTCATCGTTGACCTTGCTGCGTACAACCAGTGATTCTGCTATGCTAGGCACACCGCATCCATGCGACGACCGCACACGAGCAGAACCCGCGTCCATGCGGTGGCCACACGAGGGTAGACAGTCGCATTAGGTAGTGGTCATGCGTTGGCGACAACCGCGGCCAATCGTGTGTAGGTGTCGGCAACCCCGCTCAAGTGGCAGCCACGCGTAAGTAGGAACCGCTGTAGCGATCGCGCATAAGCAAAGGCGACCCCAAGGCAACAGCCAGCGCCAGCAAGAACCACCGCAACGGCTGCGTGCTAGCAGAGGCGACCCCAAAGCGGTAGCGCCGCGTGCGGGCAGGAACCGCCGCAGCGGTTGCGCGCGGGTAACGGTAGTGCTGCACGCGCAGGCGTCTGCAATCGCACACGGTCAACGACAGCGCTGCACGCAAGTTAGGGTTTTGGCATATTTATGGTTTTGCCCTCGAGGCTAGTTTTATCAAATTACAATTCTACCCTTTATAATTTTATAATTCTAATTTATGTCTTGTCAAATATTTATAGTTTTACCCTTATGAATTTGAGAAATCTAATTTATATTCTAAATTGTAAAATTGATAAATATGATTCATTATAATTATGATTAAATTTAATCATAATTATATTTTGATTATTTGATTGGAATTAATCTTTGACTAAAAAAAATATAAATTATGATTTAATTTTATTATTTTCTCATATGAATTATTGATTATATTTTTTACATATGATAAATATAATCTAATTATTGTTCTTGGATATTTATTTCATTATGATTTATATGTTATCATGATTATTATATGAGTTTTTTTTGCTGATTAATGTTTAATAATTATTATGATTGTTATTTTATTATTGAACTGTTTAATATAAATTAAATTGAAGAAAAATTGATGAATATTATTTATAAATCATATTCCTAAGTTTTATTATCTAACTTGTATTTGTCAAAATGGCTTGGGATGATAAGCTTTTGTGATGTGAATTATAATAAAAGTTTTATCATTTATATGATATTTATATGATATTTTAAATTATATTTTATATTATTGTATTGATCTTGTAGCCACCAAAGTGACCTAGACTAATAATTTATAAAATAATATTAAGGAATTGGTCCTAAATGATATTAAAAAAATAATATTTATAATGGTACACATAATTAAGAGATTTAGATAATCCCAAAGGAGAATCTACTTCAAATAATTATGTGATGTAATAACACTATTTCACAAGGATGGTATCAGTCCTCCATAAATGATATTTGAGTGAACACTAGATATGTCAATATTTCACCCAAAAGTGTAATATAGATGATATCAATAGTTCATCAAATAAAAAAAAAAAAACCTCAAAGCATTGATGTTATTTTATATTTTGTAGTGGTACTTCCATCTATACATTGATATATTTCTAGTGTCCCTGTACTCTCTACATCAAATTATTCAGAATGGTTAGAGCATATGCAATTTACACTAGGTGTATTATATCTTGATTTAGCATTACTTGTTAAAAAACCTACAGACTTGACTGATGAAAGTACTATAGAACAAGTTAATGAAATAAAGGCTTGGAAAGATCTGATAGACTTAGTTTAATATTCATAAGAATGGCGATTGCAAATAATATAAAGATTTCATTACGGATTGTAACTAATACACAAGAATATTTAAATGTTATTGAAGATAGATTTAAATTTGCTGATAAGTTATTGGTTGGCACACTAATGAAAGAACTGACTATGACTCAATATGATAACACTCAAGGAATTCAAGATCACATCATCAATATGACTGATAAAGCTGTAAAACTTAAAGCATTGGGCATTGATGCTGATGAGTCTTTCCTCGTGTAGTTCATTCTCAATTCTCTTCCTTCTCAGTTTGGCCCATTCAAGATTCACTATAATACAAATAAGAATAAATAAGACTTGAATGAGTTAACTAATATATGTGTTCAGGAAGAATTAAGATTAAAGCAAGAAAGCTCATATAATGTCATGATTGCTACTCAAGGAGCTAGTAATAAGAAAAGAAAATTGAAGTATCATCAATCAAAGAAATTTATCGGGTCTGGAAATGTTAAATAGATTAATGAAAAAAAAAAGCTTTTATAGTAAAGTGATTCTTTTGTGATAAGAAATGACATGTGAAGAAGGACTGCATTAAACACAAAACTTAGTTCGAAAAAAAATGTATTAACTCAACCTTTGTATGTTTCGAATCAAACATTACATAAGTTTCTTTTAATACTTGGTGAATTGATTTTGGTGCTTCAACTCATGTTACCAATAATATGCAGGGATTTCTTTCGATCCGGAAACCAAAATAATATGAAAGATTCATCATTATGGAAAATCATCTTAAAATGAAAGTGATATCAGTGGGGACTTATCGTCTACGCTTAGAGATGAGTCATCTAATGGATCTTGTTGACACATGTTATGTTCCTACTATTTCTGAAAATTTAGTTTCTCTATCTAGAATTGATGAGTTAGGATAGTCTTTCTTTTAGTAATGGTAAACTCAATATATTTTATGATTCAATAAAAGTTAGTTCAGGAATTCTATGTGATGGTTTGTACAAAATTAATTTGGATCTTGAGTTTGTAAAGACATTATTGACCTGCAATTAAGTGTTGGATTGAAACGTAGTTTCAATAATGAAAGATATTCTATATTGTGGCATAGACGATTGGGGTATATCTTCAAGAAAAGAATTTAAAGATTAGTGAAAGATAATATTTTGGAACATTTAGACTTCACTATTTTTTATGTTTGTGTAGATTGTATTAAAGGAAAGCAAACTAAACATATAAAGAAAAATGCCACAAGAAGTAAAGAACTCTTTGAGATTATTCACATTGATATTTGTGGACTACTCCATATTCCTTGTTTTAGTGGAGAAATATATTTTATCATATTTATAGATGACATGTCTAGATATGGCTATGTTTATCTAATACATGAAAAGTTTCAAGCCGTTGATACTCTTGAAGTGTACATAAATGAGGTCGAGAGAGATAGAAAAGTTAAAATTGTCAAATCTGACAAGGGTGGTGAATTTTATGGTAGATATGATAGATTTGGTTAGAACATTGGTCCTTTTGTTAGATTCCTAGAACAACAGGGTATTTGTGCTCAATATGCATTACCATGTGTGCCATAGCAGAATAGTGTTGCTAAAAGGTGAAATTATACTCTTATGGATATGGTTAGGAGTATGATGAGTTATTCCTTTGTACATGAGTCGATGTGGGGTGAAGCTCTTAGGACAACTATATACATCTTGAACATAGTTCTTAGTAAGTCAATTCCATTAATTCCATTTGAGTTATGGACTAGTAGGAAGCCCAGTTTGAGACATTTACATGTTTGGGGATGTCCTGTAAAAATAAGAGTATTCAATCCACATAAAAAGAAATTAGATTCAAGAACTATTTCTAGATATTTTATTGGTTATATAGAAATATCCAAGGGATACATATTTTATTGTCCTAATCATAGTACGAGGATAGTAGAATCTGATACTGTAAAATTCCTAGAAAATGATGAAATCAATGGGGGTGAAAAATCTCGAAGGATCAATTTTGATATTGAGGAGATTCAGGTTAATTTTCTCCTATCATCTCCTATTCGAGAAATTATTGCTCCTCAAATCAATGAGAGTATTGACGAGAGTGAATAATAAAATAACATAAAAAACTCTCACATGATGTTGATGTCGCCGCTAATGATCTTGTAGAACAATCACAATTGATAGCTTTGAGAAGATTTCAAAGGAAAAGGAAACATGTCATTTCTGATGATTATGTGGTATATCTATAAGAATCAGGTTATGATATATGAATAAAAAAAGACCCCTTATCATTTTCACAAGCCATAAAAAATAACGATTTTGAAAAATGGTATGATGCAATAAAAGAAGAGTTAAAATCAATAGTCTAGAATGGTGTTTGGGAACTTGTTAAATTGCACAATAATTATAAAAGAGTTGGTTATAAATGGGTCTTTAAGACAAAACGTAACTCAACGGGCAATATCGAACGATATAAAGCTAGACTTGTGACCAAAGGTTTTTCTCAAAAAGAAGGCATCAACTATAATGAAACATTTTCTCTAGATTTTAGAAAGGACTCGTTGAGAATTGTCATGGCATTAGTAGCTCATTATGATCTTGAGTTACATTAGATGGATGTGAAGAGAGTTGGGCTTATAAACTTAAGAAATCCATTTATGGCCTTAAACAAGTTTCTAGAAAATGGTATATAAAGTTTCATGATACCATTACTTCCT